TTTTTTTTCCATGTGTACAGGGGTAACACATCGTACTAAATATGTAAGGTCATATCTACGTGGGTTTGATTACAGAAACTAATAAAGTATTCTCTAAATAATGAAAAAAAGAATAAGATAAGACTATAAGAGCAAGAAGCAATTTAAATATGTTCAGGGACCATTTTCATCTCTAGAATTAAGGATTATTTTAATGTTACATCATTGCCCTTTCTCTTTTACTTCCCTTTTTAGTTTTATTTTAGGATTCCCTATTTTTAATGCTCATACAGAGATTTCTTTAACTGAAATACCGAATAGTTTCTTTGGTGTGAAAAACTATAATAGTACACAGGATCCTAATGAGATAATTAATAATGTGAAATAGGAAGTAAAGGGCTAAAGGTGTAGGGAAAGTGGGAAGGGTGGGGGAAAAGGAATAAGGGGAGGAAAAACATGAGAAACTGGAGAAATGGAAATAAAGTGTTTGTAAATGGGGAGGGGAGGTGGAGGTGAAGGGAGGCAGGGACAAGGGGAAAAAATGAGAATCAAGACCTGTTATGTAAAGGTACAGAATCCCAATGATGAATGTAACTGTATTGTATACCTAGATGGTACCAATAAGCTCAATAAAAAGACAAAAAAAAAAGAATTGGATTCCCTGAAAGGTAGTAACTGTTGAACATCTCATTTTAAGCCTTTTTCACACACTCTTATCTATTCATTATTTAATTTGACTCTAAAAATCCTACATAGATTTTCCATTTTACCTATGGAATATGAATTACTATTACTTGCCCCACTTTATAGAAAAACAAAAACTAAGACTAAAACTGAGACTCAGAGAGGCAAAGTGATTTACCTGAAATCACAGGGGTGACAGTGCCTAAATATAATGAGTTCTTTTAGGGATTCAAGATCAGACTCCACAGATGAGCCTACTGGTAACATGATCACAAACGAGCCTGAGGATGGTGGAAGACTGAGGGAAGGAATTCTGCAAAGACTGTATGAAAATGTTAAGACTGAAATTAAGAGACATGAGCACTGGAATCAAAAAATTCAAGGCGATTTGACCAGAGAGAAAATAGGGATTCAGAGGAAAACTTTCCCAGAACTGAGAAGACACATCCACTTTTTGTCCCTCATTGATTTTATTGGTGCATTTTAAGTATACAGCACAGTGACATTCATCATTGGGGTCCCATACCTTTACATGACAGGTCTTGGTTCTCATTTTTTCCCCATACCCCTGCACATCCACTTTTTAAAGGAACGGGCCTCCTTTGAGAAAGTCACCTGCCACATGTTCATCATGATGAAATTTTGGAACACAAACAAGGAGGACAGGGGTTATAAACTGTCTGTATTAGTCCCAATTTTCCCGATAAATAGATTTGTGGGATGCGTGTGTGCACACGCATGAGGGTGTGTGTTTTGTATCTAGACAGGGATTTACTTTATAATTAATACTCACACACTATCACCCATTTGGAGTAACTATAGCCAACCTTATTTCATCTAATCCTCCCCCTTCCGCTTCCCACCAGCTCGTTTGAAAAGAAACCCGAGATATCATATTATTTCATCTATATTTCATTACATACCTTGAAAAGATTAGGATGCAGTTTTTCAAGAGGCAATTCGAACTTTAAAAATCAACACTTCCTTAAAAATCATTACATAACCAGTGAACAAATTTTCCTGATTTCAAATATCATTTTATAGTTTATTTGGTTGAATAGGAATCAAATAAGCCATATATTTTAGCATTTTATTGATGTTTCATAATTCTTAATCTACCCCTTCTCCCCCTTTCTTATTTCTTCTTTTCCTGCCCTCTCTTTTTCTTCTCCTTCTCTTCCCCTTTCTCTCCCTGTCCTTCCTCTTCCTCCTCCCCCTCTTTTTCTTTCTTCTTCTTCTTCCTCCTCCTCCTCCCTCCCTCCTTTCTTCCTCTCCTTCTTCTCCTCTTCTTTCTGCAGTTAATTTGTAGAAGGAGTTGGGTTGTGTATTCCTGTCAGTGTTTTCCTGCTTATACTCAACGTTACTTTGGTATCATTCGCCTTTTTCCTATCTTCTGAGCATTCTGTAAATTGGTAGTTTGACTTTGATCAAGGTGTGAGGTTTTGGTAACATTACTTTTAGATGATATTGTGTCTTTCCATCAGGAGGCACTAAGATCTGGTTGTCATTTTGTGATACTAGGCAGCCTTAGATGGTAAATGTCAAGACCTAATTACCCTGAGGTACAGTCTGTACGGAGAAGACAAACTACTCTCTTTTATAATGATTAATTTTTAGACTAAGTGATCTATAATGGAGTTACCTCCATTGATTCACTGAAGTATTTCTATTTACTCATTTTTGTTTTTTTTAAAGTATTGTGAAAGACAAATTTTAATATATTGATAAGTTTTGATCCATTACATTTGTTCACACTCACATTATCCTGTTACTGGTGGGTAGGAGCCATTTGAAATTACCCCATAGCTGATCTATTCCATTTCTGTTGGAAAGTATGAGTGTGCTGTTTCTTCTGGCATCCTGGGTTTCTATCAATGGGAGATAGTAACTAGGCACAATGCATGATATTGTTTTTTCTCTTCTTTCAGAAGCTAGTTCCATAGTCAAAATATTAACCCTTCACTACCTGATATAACTTGCAGTTCTCCCTGCCTCTTATGCACCTTTTATGTTGCTTTTAACATTTTATTCCATACACATTTTTGCTCTTATTTTGATTTTTAAAGTCACTTTAAAACTCATTGAAAACTTAATGAAGATTCTGGCTAACTGGGATTGATGATTAAAAGTATATTGTGAGAAAAGTATTTGTAATCTAGATTGACATGCTGTCTATCCAAAGTGTCACTCAAGTTTGAAGATTAGGATATTTTTAAAAAATAAGATACCATAGTAAGTTCTTTGAGGACACACACACACACACACACACACACACACACAAATCAAATTTAAACATTTCAGTGTGTTTTGAAAAACAACTTTCACTTCACCTCTGTTTCCCTTGATTTCTTGCTGATAGAATTCAGAATTTTGTCTGAGTGTCAGACGAACTAGTGGACGAGGGAGGCGGGTCCCTCCTGAGCCACAGGGATGGGTCATGGTTATGGTATGTCAACCACAGTGACCTCATTTTTCTTGCCAGTGATGGGAGAGACAAACTGTGCTGGTTGCTTCAGGAAATGGTTTTCCTCGAGCGCTGTAGGAACATCTTTTCCTGCCCCAGATGCTACTTATCTGCAAGTGACACTAGGAAATGCTATTGCCATTTTAAAACTATTAGGGGACTCACTGGCATGCTGAGCCTGGCAGAACAGAAGGATGAAGAACACCTGGTACCTTGATGACATGGTGAAGCTGCTAAATTAGCTAGCCCTGGAAGGGCCTATGTCAGGTTTCCAGTTATGAAATGATAAATGTCCCTAACTTGCAAACCACTGTCAGGGGAAGTTTCTGCTCTTTGTAGCTGAAAGCATCTTGACTGACACATGAACTCCACAGAAGGGAAAGATGAAAGTTAGACACACTGAGCAAAGGGACCAGCTGAACTCATAATTAGGCCTAAATAATTGTTATTAATGAGGCTGAAATTAAGTGGAAAGGATTCCCAGAATGTAAGAAGTACAAAGTTAAAAAAAAAAGAACAAATGTGGGAGAAGTGAAATTCCAGGTGTTTTCAACAAAACCTGGGGGATACAGTGGTGCAGAAAAGAAGCAAATCTGAGCTAAAGACTTTATCTATTGGGTAGGATAAAGAGGAGAAAACTCCGGATCAGCAGTTCTCAAGCCAGGTTGTACATTAACATTATGAGGCACATTAAGTGCTGACATTCAGGCCCACCCTAGACCTAATCTCTGACTGTGGTGCCTGGTTAATATGTGTTTTTAAATGCACAGTATATGTTTTTAAAAATAAGATTAACAAATTTATAACAGTCAAACTGCTAACAAAGAAGAGCAGAATTATATTACACAGAGGGCTCCTTTATTTTGATGTAGCATCTGTGAGTGGCTCTGCAGTATTTGGGGAGTGAGAATTTCTGCTGACCCAAATTATTTTGAGATTCCATCTAATTGCAGCCATGCAATTGATAAGAAGAATGTCCCTCATTGTACTTGCTGAGAACTGGGAGACTTAGGAACCTGTAGAGGGTGCCTATCCTACCTCCACCCCAAAGCAAGAAGAATCAACTTCCTGTAGCTCCTCTCTTCTTCTGAATCTTACTGTCATTATCACTCCTCCCCATGATGCTGGTCCATTGGAACAAAGTCTCCTTCGAGTCAGCCGCTGCTGTAGTTCACTGTCCCAGTGTAAGGCATATGGCCTGCTTGTAGAAAGGCGGTTCCACTGCTTTGAGTTTCAGGGCTTCACCCCTTTTCTTCCGAAGTTCAACAACCCAAATCCATCCATCTGCCCCATATGAAACTGAAATGGTGACTCCTTTAAAGCTTTGAATTCATGATGAGGCATCTTCCATAAGCAATCATCCAAATCTAATTGATTTAGGACAAAAACCATCACTTATAGCTTGAGGATCAATTGGCCGGGTGTTTCTGCAGAACTGGGCTAGGTTAGACTGATCCTGGCTGGGATCAATGCTGTGTCTGTGGTCAGTGGAAGAGAAGCTGAGGCGTTGGTTGGTCTAGGATGGTCTCAAGTGGAAAGGGTCACTGGTCCTCTTTGTGGTTCCTCGCCTCCCAGGAGTCTGGTTTGAACTCGCTCATGTCTTAGTAGCAGGGATCTAGGAGCAAGAGGAACAAATACAAGAGGAAAACACTCTGCAGCTTGGACTCAGAGCTAGCTGAATGCTGGTCTGAGACACGTACGTGCAAGTCTCAAGGTCAGCCCAGATTCAAAGTTTGAGGAAATAAATCTTTCGCTTTGTAGGAAATTCTGCAAGGTCTTTGTTTCATCCATAACTCAGGTGTGCTGGGGATTTCAAGACTGAAGAAAGCACTGTGAGGGCTTTTAAAGTCTAACAGGCACCAACAGGGAAGTACAGTTACTAGTACAGTACTAGTAAGTTGCAACTTACTAGTGAGGGAGGTTCTACAAGAAGTGTGTATAGATCCGACAGTACTTCCTAGTGCAACTTTACAGGCAGCACCTCCCAGTGTACAGCACTGCCAGCCCAGCTCTGTGTGAACAGGAGACATGTGCCTGGCAAGGGTGTCACCCAGTACGTTTAGTGTCAGCTGCTTAGATGAGTAACTCACCTCTCCGGGGTACTGCAGGGAAGGGGCTTTTGTAGCTCTGCTTGTTCCATCCTGTGACCAGTGTTTGAAGGAATGGCTGACTTAGCACACATGTAGGAAGGAGGCTCCTGCACACAACGCAAGTTTTCCTGGTCCCGGCATTCTTCAGATAACACTTATCCAGACATTCTGATACCGTCCCTGCCCCCTTAGAATGCCCCTTTGACTTGACAAGAGTGTTGCGAACAGGAAAGAGAAGTTTCAAGGACATAGGTGCCAAGTGTTCTAGCTTTTCTCAGGGAAAATTCAGTGTCATTGAAAAGGTGCATGCATAGAGGCAGGGTGGTTACTTCTGAACTTTGTAAGCATTAAGTGTTATCCCCATCCTGTCTCTTGGACCACAATCACCACCAGAATGGGCTGCCTTCTGTAGAATTCTGGGGGACATGATTCACCTTCTAATTCTGTCCCACAAGGAGCGTGTTTCAGCATTCCTTCCAAAGATGCTTTTCAGATACCAGAAGAGAGTTGTCTCATTAACACACATACACCCTCGCCCCCACACATGCAAACACATGGTTCCCAAGGACAGTTTAGTTTACTACAAGACTGGCTTCTGGGACATGAAAACAAAGTCTGCTATTCTAAAATTCAGCTCCCAATCCTAACATATTATGGGTTTAAATATCCCAATTCTCTTTAGCTTCAGCTATTTTTCCACAGTAGTATTAAACTTGCATAAGCAACAGAAAGCTTACACTGTTGACCCTTTAAAATAAATATTTATAAGTTCCATTTTCAGTAAAAAAAGTTTAAATGTCTATCAGTTGGTATTATCTGCAGCTAGATGTGTTCTGCAGGTAGTTTAACATTAGAATTTCCAACAAATAATTCGTGGGTTTAAATATACTTTTCTGGTGAGGTGGTGAGATCATTCGTGTAAATGAAGAACCTTGACTTTGTTGTATCTCTATTCTTATTTCAACAGAAAAGGAGGACTTTATGAGGGTAGAGTTTTCATTTTGAAAAGATTATTCCATTAAGATTGTTGCATTGCTGGGAGAGTAGATGAATATCTATTTCTGTACATTAAGATCCAAATTCCAAGTAGCTGCCTCCTTGAAACTAACGATGCTATTAATAGGTGCCTGGAGTATTCTGTTCAGTGTGGAAAGTAGGAGAGAGGCAGCAATCTTTAATTTACCGGGATGAGCACCTTCATACAACTATTGTTTGTAGAAGCAAGCATAACCTTCCTGAGTGATCTTTTTAAGCAACGTGATAGATGTTATAGGTTTGTATTACAAGAGGTTAGAAGCCATGCATTTCTGTAATGTCTCTGTCAGGCTGATTGCAAATACACTTTTTATTGAACTGGTCTTGAAGGTTTGTTAATAATCTCAGTTTGAAAAGTTGACATTGGCATTGACCAAATATTCCTAATCTATTTAGAGCAAAAATTTGCTATTTCGGCCATATTCTTTAGGAATTGGTGGTTATTTGAAAACACCTTGGGTTGAAGATCATCTTTAGTCATATCTGAAAGATGAATTAGTAAACTATACAATGGTTTGAATCAAATTTCAAAGAAAATGTACATCTTCTAAACAACATAAGCCCTCAGATACACCTACTTCTCTCTAAACAACATCATCAAAGGTTATTTCTGCTGAAACTGGATGTCCTAATTATAAAGTGTCATTGCCTCCTTAATGAGAGTCTCTATGATGCTTGAAAGAAATAAACCTACAGTACAAAGATTGTACAACTTAGGCCACGGCTAGATCATAGTTTGTGCATGTGAATCAATTCAGGAAAAACAAAACATGTTTAAGCTATGTTTTTTGCCCTCTTTGTCCCAAATGGGATAAAGTTAATGAGAGAAATTGCTAGTGCTTTTCAGTCATCAAAACATTAACAACAAGGAATTTTGAAAAGTAGCAAAAAAATATGGTTTCCTATCATTTGTACTTTCTGTTTTAAGTCCTCTTAGTTTCCTGAGGTATGTTTGTGTGAAGTACTTTGTTTTGTGCTTAAGGTGTAGCCTGAATTCAGGTCTCACTTTTATCCATGGAGACAGAGATGTTCCCACAGAGAAATGGCCAGGGTGCTGGAGGGTGACTGGCTCTTGCCATTCAAAATACAAGTGGCACAGCCTGGAGTGGACCAGGCTGTGGGCTGGAGCGAAGAGGGCTGCAGACTTAGGTGACAGAATTCTGTAGCTCCCACTTCCTCTTTCCCTGCAAGCTCATCCCTTGTGCTAGCTCCACCCCTACATTCACCAAGAACTGACGGTGTTTTTTTTTTTTTTTTTTTTTTAATGTGAATTCAGTCTTCTTACCTAGCTTAGACCCCATCACTGCTTCTGAAAGGTCATCCTTTCATCTTCCATCTGCGTAACTTTTCTCATGACCATCACCTGTTAGTTTCCTGTGCCTCGAATTACTGTAGAATTGTGTAGATTCTGCCTGCCTAGATTTATCTATTTAAAAGGAAATTTTCTATTGCTACAATAAATGGAATATCACTATCACCTGCCACATGAAAAAACCATAAAAACAAGTACCATGAAACAACACAGGGACAATCAGTGCTCGTAAATCCTCTTGTGTGCTCGGCACTTACAGTTAAGGTTTCCATTTCTGCTGAAAGAGGGATCGGTAAGAGTTAGAGTTGGGGAAATCCGCACCTCAGAGAGACTTTCTCATTGACACACCCAAGTAATGAAAGGCACTTGAAATAAAAAGAAAACTCTCAACTCTTTGGTGACCACAATATCACTGACTTCAGTCTACAAGGCACCCCAAACTTCTTTACTGGCAGTAGCCTTAGTCTTGCACTTTGAGAGACATTGGTAGAGAGATGGGTCTGCTAAGGTGCCAAGGTCTCATTTGTCTGATTTTACTCTCTGAAAGATCTGGATGGACCTGGCCATCTTCAGAGCTGGCAGGTGCTGGAGTTCTTTCTATGCTTCACCCTCCTACTGTCCTGAAAGCTCACGTCATATCAGCTGAGCCACAGTGGAAACTGAGATCAGCTGCTCACCAACCTCCCAGACTCCCTCCCTTACTCCCTTCTTGTGCTTGAAGATTGTCACTGAATCACCTCTTGGTCTGTCCTTCTCTAAGTCAATTTATGTCAGCTCTTTAGCTCTCTCGTCTTCCATCTCATTTCCTCTCTCTCTCTCTCTCTCTCTCTCTCTCTCTCTCTCTCTCTCTCTCTGATTTCCAATATATTCTTTGGGCACCTTTTGACTTCTTGAAATCTTCCTAGTCTGAGGCTAGAAACTCTTTTGGGAGGCCCCATATCTTACCCCTGTCTTATTTTGAAGCACCCTGTCCTAGAGAAGTACTTGGAGTCTAGCCAAGTACTATTCCGAATGGGCCAGCAATATTATTTTATCTGGGAGCTTGCAAAGTACACACATTTTCAACTCTCATTAAAGACCTCCTGAATCAGAATCTCTTGCAGGGGGGGCCCTAGAATCTGTTTTAACCGGTTCTCTAACTGATGCATAAACCCAATAAAGTTAAAGACTTAGCTGTGTCCCACATAACATTTTAAACATTTTTTCTAAGGCTCTGATATTTAAAATTTAGAAGATCTTACATAAAAATATAACTTTCCAGATTCCCTTACCAATATTAACATCTGGAAATCGTTTTCCAGACTCTCCCCCACCCTGGAATTGAGCCAGTCAGTTCATTCCTGTGATAATGTCCACACAAAGTCCAATAGCAACTACCATTTCCCACTATGCACATGTAATTGTTTTTCTTGCAAATGGAGATTAAGTCAGTACAGAATGCTTCTTGTACATAGATCACTATCAAGAGTGATGAAATGACCAGAAGGTCATGAGATTCAGTAGGAGAGAAAGCCTTTTTTTTGCTTTTGTTTGTTTGTTTGTTTGGTAGTATCAGAGATTAAATCCAGAGAGTCTTGAGCTACATCCATGTCCTTTTTCTGTTATTATTATTTTTTATTTTGAGATGGTGTTTTGCTATGTTGCCCGGGGTGGGCTTGAACTTTTCATCTTCCGGCCTCAGCCTCCTGAGTGAGTAGCTGGGATTACAGGCATGTGCTGTCATGCCTGGTTGAAGAAAAAATTGTTGACTAGAAGTGACGTGACTTTTAAAAATTTTCCACATTGTTTTCCTAGCCTTAGAAACACTGGGCTATGTGATTCTTACTTCAGACTGTATTCGTTAGATTTGCTTCACTTTTCTAAACTCAGCATCCTCCTTTGACCCTATGTGTTACCTTTTGGACTTTTGATTTCTTCTCAAACCTTTCTACCTAGTCAAACCCTTGGTCTTGGCTTCCTTCAGCCTAGTCTGACCTTTTGTTATTCAACTGCTGCATGACATTGATGCTACAAATTATTCCTGGATTGATTACTAACCATGATGCTTTTACTTTAGCACATTTATTTGTTCAGATATACAGTACCAGTCAGTACAGTGGAGAAGGCTGGATTTTGGGAATAGGAAAGGTGAGTTTGATTTTGGGTTCTGAACTTACTGGTTTGTTATGAAAGTCAAGTAAGCAGCACATGCAAGGTTTCTATCATAGTGTTGGACACATGGTAAACAGCAAGCAGCAGGACTTTTGAATGATAGTTCAGTACTTGCTAATGATGTTAACTATGTATTTAGCATGTGCTTTAGTCCGGGGCTGTTAACTAGACACTGATGTGCATATATAAGATGAGGAAGTCAAGCACACAAATACTTGTAATAACATTATAGAGAAAATGCTCTGGGATCATGGTGGGAGGAGCTTCTGAAAGATTTTGTAGGTGGTTGTTTAGCTCCAGAATCAAGGCTGAAGAAGAATTTTTCTAAATTCAGAAGCAAATGAAGCAGTACCTTGTGTACAAATACCCAGAAATAAAAAAGCATAATGTGTTCTGTGAATGTTCCAAAAGTCATGATTAATTCCACATTGCTGGAGTAGAGCGTATGTGGAGAGACTGAAAACATATGAGACTGGAAAGAGAGATTGATGTGAACACAACTTTCCCAAACTGCAAGAATTTGAACCTTATTTAGGAATCAAGATTGTGGTTTGGAAAAGGCACTCTGACACCCCTGAGTTACCTGGAAAAATTGCAATTGTGCTCCATGGATTGTGTGAGGAAAGCATAGATAGGAAAGAAGAATTTTAGAGACATTTTGATCCAAAATGGTGAACAAAATTTTCAAAGGACTGAATTCTCGGATTTGTCAAAAATAGAGAACATATTCTTCATGCACTCTGATGACTGAAAGTTTTGCTGCATCAGATTTTTCAGCCAAGTCAACGTGAAGTTTGTGACTGAAACTAAAAATCACCATAGTGGTGAGAGCTGTTGCCTTGGCAACACTGGCAAAGGTCCAGTGAAGGATTCTGGGTAATCGGCTAGGCTGCAGGTAAATTTTTATGTGGTCTACTTTGGGCCAGTAAGTTAACACCACAGAAAAGCCTAACCTGGTATTTCCTAAATTGACAGTGCTTTAATTTACTCCTTTTGGCAAAGACTTTACTCTGGATTGGCCCTTTGTAAGGCCAGGGCATGATCCGAAGGGCTTTGACAGACCTTCTAGGCTGAGAAAGTATCTTTCCAGCCTCAACACTCCCACTCTGAGTTTTTTCTGTTGATTTTTGGACAGCTCTGTCAACTATTGTTATCATTAGGGTCTCAGTCTCATCATACAAATAAGATATGATAATATACCATATATTCAGTCCCATGTATGTATAATGCTCCATATATACGGAATATACCATATATAGGTCTCACACATATGATATACCATGTTTAGATAGATAACTCCATGGAGCAGTTGTGCCAAATGATGTGGCAAGTAGATTTTGTAAACTATAACGTGCTATGCAAAATATTTTGAAATATTATATCAAGTAATCTAATCAAGGACTGAGACCTAGGACAGTGACGTTTGCATCAGGAAAGGCACAGAGATGATAGCATGGGGGTTAAGTCTGTGACCGAGAGGGAGAGGGGCTCCTGTGAGGACTCAGCATGGCTCTCATCTCTACCATGCTCCAAGCCACTCTTGCTGCATCTCGGATGCTCGGAACGACTTTCTGTCCACCTGACAGAGAGTGCTCTTTCATGTCTGTGTTTTACAAAACTCTTCTCTCTTCCTGGATTTCCCGGATCTACCAAGTCCACATGAATAACACTCTCTCTTCTTTTAAGATCATCTGGAAAGATCAGTGCCACCTGCAGAAATAACAATACCTTTCTGATATTTGTTCTATTACATGGAAGTTATCTATGCATATTCATCACTTTTACTTAAGTGGCCTGAATTGTGTTATCCCCACACTCCTTGCCTCCCAACTTGATTAAGGCTTCATATTGAAGCCGGTGTGATTGGCTTTAGAGAGAGGGCCTTTGGGCAAGTAATTAAGGTTAAGTGAGGTCACGGGGAGGGGGGCAGTCCCTAATCCAATAGGACAGATATTCTTAAAGGCACAGGAAGAGAATCAGTACTGCGGGCACAGAGAAAGTGTCACCTGTGGACACAGTGAAGACACTCATCTACAACTCAAGGCCTTGGACTTCTAACTCCCAGAGCTGTGAGATAAGAATTTTCTTTTCTTTTTTTTTTTGTGGTACCAGAGACCCAACTGGGAGCCTTGCACTTGCGAGGCAGGTGGCAGAACCACTAAGCTAAATCCCCTGCCCAATAATTTTCTGTTGTTTAGGCCACCTAGTCTGTGGTGTTTTATTATGGTACTTGAAGGGCCTCATAAGGATAACAAGCATCTTACAGGAAAAGACTGTATTTTATCCAGTTTTGTACTATCCAGTATTGGCAAAGAGTATGTGGTAGGTAAACAAGTTTTGAAGGAATGAATAAACTAATTAATGTAACACATCTGGGCTTAACTGGTTGATCAGATGAAGCCAGGAATTCAGATTGGCTTTGTATGCTCAGTCTGTGGTCATGACTCTGCAGACCTAAAAACTGGACACAGAAGTTGGGTCATAGAGACACAGAGTGTCTGGACACAGAGTGTGGGTCATAGAGAGAGTCCGGGTGGGCAGATGTAGAGCCAGGTGAGCCCCACAGGAGGCCACAGGCAGATGTTGAGGCTGGCCTTAGAATAGATGTCAGGTAAGGAGTCAGAGGAGCTGGGGAGGGTAACAGTTGCCTACGACCCTCTAAGAGATCCATCACCTCCAGGGTAAAATGTAAACTTTTTGCTTGGCCAGAAAATTTCTTTATGTTATGGCCACAACCTGCTCACTCTGCTAACAGCAGTTCTGTAGATAGCCCAGTGACTGTTTATTGTCTGCCTCTCCAAAGCAAGAATTATGTCTAATTTGCTTTTGTTTCCACTCAGTCCCTAGGGGAGGCTTACTAAGTCCTCGGTGCTCAATGTCTCCTAATGAGCAGGATAGGGCCTCAGTGTAGGGTCTTGCATACAGAATATTTCTCAGCCACCGAGAACCTCTGAAAACTGGACTCCTTTACGAGGTCCCATATGAGTGTTACAGAGCTGCAGTAATTGTTTGAAAAATAAAGTGATAATACTCAGCTTTTCAGAGGATGACAGAAAATGTACACTTTCATATACTGACGGTGAAGAAGTGGTTGTTACAACATTTTGGGCTCCATATATTGAAAATTCTTAAAACTTGCATACCCTTTGATCCAGCAGGTCCTTAAGGAAGGCAAAAATTGTACTGCAGGCTCCTTCATATCAACCAGGAAAAACTGGGTATAACTGTTATTTCCAACAATAGGTGATTATTTAAATACATGGCAGTGATCATGTATTAAATAGATGGAAAAACCACACTTCTATTGAAACAAAAACCAAGAAACAATGCTGCTACATGTAAGCTTTGATCTGAACTAATGATCAGACCTTGTTGAATAAAATAGCAGATTAAAAAGAATATACAATACTGTCTAATTTTAGTTAAAACATTCACAGTTTGCAAAAAGACAAGGTTGTATGCCCTCAAATGTGAACAGCAATTATGAGTATTTTTAAAAATTTTGATCTTTGATCTTTTTTTATCAGGAGCATATATTACTTATATGATAAATGAAAGGTTTTTAAAATGTAAAAAATGCCGCCCTCATCAACTTTTTTCTAGACTTTGTATGTTATCAACATAATTTGTTACAATTTTATTTATTTATCTAAGCATATTCTCTCATGCCATTTGCATGGTAATGATAAAAAGTAATGTTCATTCTTACATTGGTGTGAAACAAGAGCAGATAAGTAGGCTTGTATAAGCAGTTTTACAGCTCTGGCTCCCAGGCTGACTTGAAGCTCTCAGACTCCTCTTGTTCCTTCAGAACATGTTGGCTGCTGAACTTTCTGCACCGTCCTTGCTCTGGGGTGTTAAGAGTTTGAAAATGTAATCACTTCTCGCTTTTGATCTTCTTCTGCTCCAAGTGCCAGTGTATTCAGTGAAAGTGGTTTGTGAAGCTCTTTGTAAATGGTGTGTAGCTCGGCCAGCCTGAGATTTGTCCTGGAAAGTGTATGGAAACACTGTGGTTCTGGGGACTCAAACTCTTTACCTGAGGGCCCCAGGTTGTCTTGGAGGTAAGAAGATAAACCGGTGCGGAAGTACTAGGGACCCACCAATACAGCTTGGGGGACTTCACTGGTGCCTCTGGAACATAGTGAGGAATCAGCTGCTCAAGGAGAAATTTGAAAGCCTCTCATTGCATGCCTTCCCTTTGTTTTAGTGAAGCACATACAAAGTGCCAAGCCTAGTAGGTGTGTGAGTGAGAAGACTGACTTTGCCAGTTACTTAATGGCATAGCTGGAACCAAAAATGAGTCTTTGGATGTTTAATGCTGTGTTGTGTTGACTCTAGATCCCATTGATGTCTTCATACTGATAGACAAAACTGGAACCATTCATAAAGTGAAGTAAAGCCATCCAGTGACAATGATAACAATATTCTCATTTCTTACCAAGAATGGTAAGTATGGGGGTTAAGTCAATAGCCATCCTGAGATCTAGCCCCCCTTTGAGACCATAGACAACATGTGCTCTAAGTCCCAGGGAAGTGGCTGCCTGGAGGCACCATAGTCAGTGCAGATTATGGTCTTGGGCAGAGTCCAGCTGCCTCACACAGTGCCAAGGACAAGGTCAATAACTGCGGGATCGGATGACCATAATGATAGCCAATCAACCAAATGATAAAGCTTGGAGGCAACCATCCATCCATCCATCCACCCATCCATCCATTTATTAACTGTGTAGACATGATGAAATCCCTCACAAATCCAGCGGGTGATTATGTTTACTAATTATCTTCCCTTCACCTTTCTCTATTCTATTTCCATTTCTCCTTCCCCATCTCTACTGTCTTAAAGTCGTGACTTTAATTTACCCTTTTTAACTCCTCCAACCAGATATCGCCATTCTAACCCATCATGCAGATTGCCAAGAACTATCTTTCTAAACACAGTTCCTTTCATTAGCTCCCAGAGAATCTGGCAAGCATGACAGGATGGAGAATACACTTGGTGACATATTCGAGATTCTTCTAGATCCAGCCTGCTCCCACCTCACCAGGTGAGTCTTTGTCATTCCGTTCAGGTAACCTGTCTCTCCGCTATACTCATCAACCTGCAGTTCCCAACTCACCAGGTGGGGTCACGCCTCCATTTCCCTGTTCTCTGTGAACTCTGGATGAAAATTGCTATCTCTACTTGTTTGCATTTCAAGGTTCCTCTCTAGCCTCATTTCCTTGCTGAAGTCTTCCTTGACCTTTTCTCCCTGAAGTAAATTTGACTATTTTCTGTTACGAATCCTTAGAAAATCCTGGGGAACTATATTGACAGGACTTGTACACTATTTATTACTTTTCTTTCTCAGGGTCCCCAGTGGATCTAAGTCCTTCTAGTTTAGGAGCCCATTTTATTTATCTTTATTTTTTTTTCCGTTGCTATAGTCTGAATATTTGTGCCCCTGTCAGTTCATATGTTCAAATCTTAACCTCCAGGATGATGGTATTAAGAGCTGGGATCTTCTGGGAGGTGACTGAATCATGAGGGGGGAGACCTCATTTAAATGGAGTTAGTTCCCTTATAAAAGAAATCCCAGAGAGCTGCCTTACTTCTTCATCATGTGAAGGTACAACCAGAGGTGTTGTCTATAAGTCATTCCTTACCAGATATGAATCAGCTTCCAGAACTGTAGAAATAAATGTTGCTCTTCATAAGCCACAAGCTCATAGTATTATTTATAGCAGCTTAAATAGCCTAAGACACCATACGGTGCAGGACCTCATACACATTAGGCACTCAGCAAAGATGAGTTCAGTTAGTCGACGTGACACGGATTGATCCGACCATTGTCACACAGTCTACAAGTTTGGACTGGTTGAACTAGTAGTCTTCTCCCTCTCTCTCCTTTTCTCACCCTCAGTGTATTTTTCTCAGCCCCTGGAGCCAGTTTTAAAGCACAAAAGTGATTATTGGACTTCTGCTGCATTTGCCTACTGCAATGGTTTTATTATATTTAAAATAAAATCCAGGTCCGTATTAGTTAGGAATGTTCATATCTAAACTTTTACCAGTCCCACAGTTGTACATGCAGGGCTAGACATATTCATAAACATGTTATAGAGATCCCATTTAATATCCTTCTCTCTGGCATGTGTCTTGTCCAATTTGCATCATGAGTGACTCTAATATTCAAGGCTAAGGAAAATGCTACTCCTCAGAAAAAAACTTCCTGATAAACTCATCCCAACTCTGATTGTATTACATTGTTTTATTTTATTTTATCTTTGATTCCACTTATCACTGTTTACGAACATCTTGTTTGTTGGTATGTTCCCTTGCATATTGTATTGTAATACCCAAGGATGCAGTAATGACAGCTAACACTTGTACGCTTTATATTACATGCTGGCCATTGTTCTCTATATATTGTTCTACTTAATCTTCACAACAGCCTATGAGGAGAGAATTATTTTAACTCCATTTTAAAGATGAAGAGACTGAGGACCATGGAGGTCATGTAAATCACTCAAGATCCCAGTCTTTTTAATCAGTGTTGTGCTATTCTCCACTGGACATGGATTTTATAGGTCCTGTTTACTGCTCTATTTGTGATTCTAAAAATACTGATTATGTGACCTAGAGAATAAATGAATGAATGCACACAGTATTGAAAGTGCTGGGTCTCTCCTTGTTTTATTAGACACTGGTATATTCATTGTAGTGAATCACTGGAATTTCATTGGAATGACTCATGTACAAATGAGTCAAATACTTTTTGGTTTAAATAAATTATATTTCCTCAAATTCTTGAACTATAACTCTCAGACATGACTTTAAAATTTCTCTACTCCAAAGCAACAACAAAAACAACAACAATAACAACAACCACTGCTTTTGTTTCAGCTAAAGCTGTGGGAGAAAAGTTCACTGTATTCTTGGAAGACATAAAGCTTCACTTGCTATGGTCCATAAAGTATCCAGAATAATTCTATGCATAGTCATTAAAGAACTCTATAAAAGGCACTGAATATTGAGACCACTCAAGCAATCTGATTGCTTAATTAAATCTCTAGAAATGCTCAATATGTGCCAATTGAAACTGTATCACCAATAAAAAAGACCTACTTGCGTTCTTCTATTTTTTTTTCTTTTCATCTTTAGTTTATAACAGCAATCCTGACCTTGGCCCTGGGCTTTTCCTGGAGATTAATGACTGGCTTAGGCTTTATGGTCCTCAACTGCCTCCGCAGTAGACTACCAGCTCCTCCCAACTTGTCATTCATCCCCTGCAAAGTACCCCACATCTCACACTGGTTTGCTAAGGAATGTCAGTATCTGTCAGAACTGGAGCAGATTGGTTTGTGAATAGTGATGTGTGGATTCTTGGGAACCTGGCAATATTGACATCTCCGAAGAAGGTATCCTAACAAACCCAGAGGTGGCCTTTGATGCACTCTGTGTTTACACAGAGCCTGCTTTCCCCTACACCACGTTTCAGTGTGATGGTTTAAAGGTCCTTGCAATGAATTCTTTTGCTCTTGGAGCTTTGTTCTCTTGTCTTTTGAGGTGTGACTTTCTTAAACCTGTGCATGGAAACAAATACTTTGGAATCGTAGAAAAAGCTTCTTTTGAAGCCAAAGATGGTGATGGCTGCCTCTAAGTAAATAATTCTGCACATAATATACTATAAACAAGTTAATCTTTCCCCACCACATCCTCCTGAGACTGACAGCATCTCAATTGGTTACAATTTAATTCTGCTTTTGTTTTTGTTTTGTTTTTGCTTCCTAATTGCCAGAAAAGCCTAAATTTTTAGAAAATGGTCACTGTCTCTCCAGTTCCAGAATGTCAATGTTTCAAATCCTCAGATCCTGCTTCCCAAATGTTCACAGCCACACCATGGTTTTGCAAGTCAGTGTTATTCCCATTGGTAGTGTGACCCTGAGTGACTTTGTTGACTGTAATGATGACACTGGTACTGTTTGACTGGTGCTTTAGGGTTTACGGAATTCCTCCTAGGAGCTCATGATTAATCATATCTTACAGAAAGAGGCAACTTGCTTCTGAGAAATAAAGTGACTTGCCCAGGATCATATATTCTGTAAGGAGATCTAAATTCAGTCTCCTTTTCAGGTCTTTCACTTTCCCACATTCCAAAGACAGTTCAACGTTCACTTTTGGGCCCTTAAATCATTTCTTGCTTTCTGTATCACAGCAAGTAAAGGAGCCTTAAACAATAATAGTTGCTACTATTTACCATTAGCTGCGGACATGTATCACATGTGCATCAATCTGCTTTGTCTTCATAATCCAATGGGCCAAGAACTTACAAAAGAGGACAGTATGGTTCAGTTGGGGTTGATGTCTTACTGGAGTTCAGGCTTTGGTAATTCTGATTCCGAAATCTTCATTTATAGAGCTCTGCTCTCATTCCAGACAATGGAGTCTATTCTCTGTGGAGTTTTGTGGCTTAGTAATTATCTTTCCTGTTACATAATATAAAATATGAGCTGTTCAGTGAGCTGAGGATGAAATTTTGACCACAACAAGATGGAAATATCCCCAGCTGGAGGGTGCAGCTTTTTAGAGGTGCTAAGGGATTACTTTGGTATTCTTTCTGAACATGGCTGGAATACAGTGGTACCTCTGTTCATGAACTTGATTCTTTCCACAATTCTGATTGCAAACCAAGTTGGATGAGAAGTGAGTCAATTCAATAGTTAGGTTCAATGTTAACCTTATGGGGGAAAATTTGATTCAGTTCTATTCTTATTTTTGCAACTAGAATCATGGAGAGAATTGAGTTTGTGAACCAAGGTATCACTACTTAACCTGGCAAGTGTCTTTGTGTTTTTAATTTTTCCCAATAATGACATCAAGTGGTGTATAGAAAGGACAGATTGTTGACTGGATAGATATCTGCAAATTTTTATTGCTAGGCTCAAATCATAAGGAGGCATTTTTTTTAGATTCATGGGGCTATATTTCTCCCTTTCTTTCTTTGGAGTAAGGAAAATCCAAAAAAGCTTCTCAAGCAGGTGTATTGGTTTCATTTTATCTTTCTTCAGTTAGTGGTTGATAGGTTGTGTATCTGCCATGTGCCAGGTACCCTCCTAGGAACTGGGCATTGTGTACTACTCTGCTGGGGGGAATGAGACAGACACAGACCCTGCCCTCAGAGTGCCGAGGACTAGCATGCAGGGATTGAGATGTTTGTTTCAACATCAGTCTATAGTCAACTCACCCTGCTGTTCATTCTGGAGCTATGTTCATATCAGTGCTTACCCCAAGTCTTGGCTGATCATGTATTTTCTTGCAATCTAGAGAAGGGCAACTTCAAACACACTATTCCTAGGAGTTTATTTCTAACCTGATGAATTGGAGTAGGAGAAGAGACAAACCTGGAAGGTGTCTTCCACATAATTCTAGGCTAACTTCAGTTCTGGCCCCACCTACCGCCTCTCTGAAGCTATCTTTTCCTTTGGAGCTTGACTCGAGTGGTGATCTTGGATCCCTGTGACCTATAAAGGCTTCATGTCATTCTCTTTCTTCCTCTGTTTCACCCCTCTCACGTGCCTCATATTGTATGATGGACCTATGGGCTACCTTGTTCTTCACAAGTCCTAGATTGTTGTCATCCGTGAGCGGAACAAGGTTCAGGAGCTTGGGCTGGGAGGGTAAGGCTCGGAATCACCAGGTAGACTCAGGGGAGGTCTCTGGAATGCTTCCGCTTTATTCAGGAAATGAACAGGCTTATATAGGGACAACCATGGAGGAGGAGCATGGGAGGAACATTTAACTTTTGTTGATGCCTTATTGGAAGCATGGTGGAGTGATTTTTCTTGGGCGAGGAGAAGGAGTCCTGGAGTACGGATGGAGGTTTAGCCTGTTGGATCCAGCATCTACGTAATTAAGCGAGTTAGCTCAGCCTTAGCAAGGTCTCCGAGTTAGCTCAGGAGACAGAAGTGTGGTACACCTGGCCCAGGCAGGCTTGAACTTCTCCCACACTCGATGATATCAGAGCTTCCCCTGAAGGTCAAGCAGGAAGGTATAGAAATG